ATAATTTAGTATTTGATAATAAGAAGTTATATCACCATGTAGTAAGTTACCCTCCTCTAGCTCCAACAGTTGAATATTGACTGGTCCACCGTGATCTCTTCCAGCAAAAGAAAACCGACGCACTTAATATGAGGCACAATATTAGCAGCGCCACGCTGCCTTTACAGCACACAGCTATATCCTCCAGCACAGTGACTAATGTTAGAGTATGGGCAGAATGCTAGTATTACTGTGCAAAATTCTTGAGCCACCCATTAGCACTTTATATGCCATAAGGAGACAGACTTTCTTGTAACTTTTAATGTGGTCTTGAGCGAGATTTCTCAAGCGTTCTGAATATGTTGCAGAGGTGTTTTCAGGCCGGTCCATGAACCTGACCATCTGAGAAAGATTTCTTGTTTTGTTGTTAATCCATAACACTGACCTTTAAGTCATTCAAGTGTAAAAAGGCACCTAGAGATCGTACCAGTGTGGTGTTGACGTGTAACAGACCACTTAGCACAGAACCCATTTACAATCTTATATTTAGTCACTTTGTTACAACACACGGGTTGTTCCTGTTTCTTTAATTAAATCTACTAAAAATGCAAAGATAACGCAGGACGACAGGCATCAAAAACATGAAAACTTGACATGTCTTGGCATAGTGTGCAGTGTGTACATGAAAACCAATTTGAGGAAAGTGGAGAACCAAAGAAATGTCATGCCTAAAAACTATCTACAGCAGGTGAACGGTACTGAAAGTTATATCATTAAGAAATATGAAAAAAATCTAGCAACGACTTGACACAGATTGTGAGGAAATGTGTCTCGCCCTTCAATTTGTCCATCTACTCTTTGTTCTACTGGATGAGTGGCTGTCAGTAGTTGATTCTTAAGGAAGGGAAAGGCTGGGGTAAATAAAATTGCACATTAAATTAGAAGTGGACTGAATATCAGGGTCAACTGCTTTTATGGAGTGATGAATTCAAATTCTGACATTTTTATTCACATTGACGTCAGTATGTGTTGAGGAAATCAGGAGAGAGGTACACCGTTGTCTACAGGCACCTCGAAATCACACTGGAGGCTCTGACGTGGTTCGGACAGCATTTCACTCTGTGATGTTAAAGGTCTTTCCAAAATTAATGGAAGTATGAACACAGAAAAGTACCATCGGATTGTTATCCATCGAAATACTTCTGATTGACAGCAGCTTAATTTGTCAACACGCCAACGATGTTAAACACACTAAGTTCAGTTCACGGGAACTCCATCAGTAATGAGCCCGAGCCTAAATGTTGTCGAGGGATTGAATGGATCATCTTGACGAGGGATAGGAATCGATACAAATGTAGCGATTCAGATTCCTCGATAGATATCGCTTATTGATTCCATTCCTTATCAGTTCTCATTTGTGCATGTTAGAGGTACTTCCACTCTTTGTTGTGGTCATTGTTGGCGTCATTGCTCAAAGTAATAATGTATTACACACATTACACAGAACACTTTTCTTAAATTTAATGCAGTGCCCTACTTACTCCCAGGAGAAAGTAATTTGTTACTACTTGTACACATTACGTTTCTCTGTAAAATGACCTGAAACGTATTGTCTCATAGATATCATTTAATATTATAAACCCACAGATCGCAGTCCCACACACCAACACAAATCCCTATCATATTGAGGACACACACGATCTTTCTCTTAGCATTTAGGTATGAACACAAAGCCAACAGCATGAAGCAAAGATGAAAACAAGCTCAGAAAACTTAATAACGATTGGTTCTACTTAAACAGGTAGAAATGGAGGCCGCAGCCTGACTGGCTCTGGTCTCACTGGTTCTTGGCTAGCTTAGCGTTAGCATGCTCTTTGTGCAGATATTTGCAAAGAGCCAAAGTTGTGTTAGCAGCATAAGTTGTTTCTGACCTGGGCACAGTTTGCACTTTATAGATGTGAATTGAGAACCGGTTTTAATCTCAGCAGAGAACAGAATTAAAGGCAGCCACCATCTGAAGAAGAGTTTCTGCAGAGATCACTGTACCTATCTCCAATTTTCCTGTCAACATATAAAGAAATGACAGGTGGCTCAAGAGTATTGCACAGTAGTGTATAACACTTTCTAAATGACTAGAGATCTTGTCCAGAGACTGGACATTATTAACGATGATGATGATGATGATGACAAAGCAACCTTGGTTAATTCAAACAGTCAGTTAATTCTGCTGTGTATAGTTTAAAGTGAGTTTCTGATGTTTGCCTTTTCTCTGCCCAGGTACACGTCGCCTGATTTCCTTTACATTCGCTCGTGGTTACCCTGCATCTTCTTTGCAGGAGTAATAACTATGGGAAACATTGGACGGCAACTAGCTTTGGTAAGAAACAAGCCAGTTTACATTTACATCAGTTACATTAAGGCTAAGCAGTCACTGCTTCTCAATTCATAAAAATTTTTAGAACATTTTCTGCTCTGATTTGCAAAAAGAATTTATGGTCCAAATTTTGAATCTACAGTACCAGTCAAATGTTTGGACACGGCTTCTCGTTTAATGGTTTTTCTTTATTTTTACTACTTTGTACATTGAAGATATAAACTGAAGACACCAAATATATGAAACAAAATATATAGAATTATGTAGCAAAGGAAACAATGATAAATAACTCTAAATTCAATTTCAATTCAATTTTATTTATATAGCGCCAAATCACAAAGACAGTCGCCTCAAGGCGCTTCATATTGTACAGTATAGCCTATAATAATAGATACAGAGAAAAACCCAACAATCATATGACCCCCTATGAGCAGCACTTTGGCGACAGTGGGAAGGAAAAACTCCCTTTTAACA